TTGGTAAGTGTTACATCAATAGTTAATGGGTGGCTTGTCCATGGGGGATAGTTTGCGTTTATATGTAGTGTTGCATTGAAATGATTCCTATCAAAAGTTGTAAGGTTTATTCTTTCTATGAGGGGTGTAGAGTTTTTAGTCTTATTGTTAGGAGGAAGGCCAGGGTTGCAGATATGGGAAAATACAGGATGCTGTTTCTGGGATGATATCTTTGCAATGTAGTTCAAGGATAGTTGCTGTCGTCTTATATGTAAGGGAGGTTCTCCAGTTAGAACTTGCATGCTACTAACTGGACTAGTTTTAAAAGCTCCCAGTGCTAATCTCAAAGCTGTAGTTTGAATACTGTTTAGTTTTTTTAGAGTGGTTTTACATGCAGTATCGTAACATATACAACCATAGTCGATTTTAGTTCTAATGAGCGATTTGTAAAGCCTAATTAATATTTTATGATCAGCACCCCAAATTCTGTTGGATAATATTTTGAGTATATTTAATCTTTTTTGGCAGGAAAGCTGTAGTTTATTTATGTGTGAATTCCAATTTAAAGTTCTCTCAAAAGTTAGACCTAGAAAGTTTATTTCTTTTGACTGTTCTAAAGGTAAATTATTTAATGTAAGACTAGTTGTGAGGTGGGTTTTATTTTTATTAAAAATAATGTATCGTGTTTTTTCAGTAGAAAAAACAAATCCCGTTTTAATCGTCCAATTACACAGCCGATTTAGGAAACTCTGTATAATATTAGTTGCTGTCATTATATTATTCGATTTAGTATAAATAACAATGTCATCTGCATAAAGACTAGCTTTAATGGGCGCTTTAATTACATCAACAATACTATTAAAAGCGATTAAGAATAAAGTTGGACTAAGGATCGAACCTTGAGGAATTCCATTATCTAGTATCTTAGATGAGCTTGTACCACCATTTATTCTAACATGAATCGAGCGATTTTTTAAAAATTTTTTTATAAATGCAAGTATGTTACCTTGAATGCCAGTATCTTTCAATGTTTGTAGAATACAGTGTCTCCATGCTCTATCGTATGCTTGGGTTATATCGAAAAATATTGCTATTAGTTTTTGGTTATTTGCAAAAGCTTCATTAATTGAAGTCTGTAATGCAACGTGATTATCTAATGTGGACCTGCCTCTTCGAAAACCACTTTGGAAGGGAGTAAGAAAGTTAGTATTTTCTAAGTACCATATAAGGCGGAGGTTTAAAATTTTTCTAATATCTTACACATGCAACATGTAAGAGAGATTGGTCGGTAAGAGGTAGGATTGTCTTTTGGTTTGTTAGGCTTAGCAATGGGAATGATTATTGCTTGAGACCAAAGATCTGGGAATTCATGCTTTGAGAAGCAGGTATTAAATAAATCTAACAGAATTAATTTGGCTCTGAATGGTAAGTTTTTTATGAAGACTGGTAGAATATCATCTGGTCCTGCAGATGTGTTTTTTATATTTGAGAGAGAAAACTCTAACTCTTGAAGAGTTATAGGAGCATTTAAGGGGGTGTCAGAGTTGATAATGGATATTGTAGAAATTTCTATGTTTTTCTTATATGTTAGGGATTCGTAAGAAATGTTTTTGTCGCTAGAATTATGTTGATAGACATCAGCTAAAGCTTCTGCGATTTTATTTTTGCAAGTGATTAATTCATTATTGTGTGTTAAGGTGTTTATATGTCTATAAGAATTGGAGCCTTTAAGTTTACGAATTTTAGTCCAGACAACCTCGGAGGGTGTAGACGAATTGATAGATGATACGTACTCTCTCCAGGTTTCTCTTTTGCTTTTCTTTATGAGATATCTTGCTTTAGCTCTCAGTTTTTTGAATCTAAGTAAATTTTCATTTGTATTGTGTTTTTTAAATACATTAAAAGCATGATTGCTAGAAGATAGAGCATATGCTACTTCATTGTTCCACCAAGGTACTGGAGGTCTTTTGCAGAGCTTTGTTTTACCTATATTATTTAAAGCTTCTTCTATAATTATATTGTTTAAGAAGGTAATATTAGAGTTTATATCATCACTTGGATGATAGTTTTCAATTTTCTTTTCAATGTCATCTTGATAAGACGACCAGTTTGCAGTCTTTAATTTCCAGGATTGATAGATTGGAAAATTAGGAGATTGAATATGATTTAATGATATGCAGATAGGAAAGTGGTCACTGTCATATAAAGATTTTAAAGTATTCCATGTGAGAAAACGTTGATAAAGATTGACTACATAATGATAAATCAATGGCAGAAAAAGAGCCGTTATAGGAGTTAAACCTGGTAGGTTCTCCTGTATTAAGTAATAGTAGATCAGAAGAGTCAATGAGATGTTTTATTAGATTACCATATTTGTCTGTTTTAGAGCTTCCCCATGCAGAATCATGACAATTCATATCCCCTAAAATTATTTTTGGGTGTGGAATTTGATCAAGAAGGTTATTTAGTTCTTGTAGGTCTAGCTCGCTAGGATGTGGTAAATAAATGTTCCATATATTAATATGTTTTTGGTACGTTATACTCACTGCTACAGCTTCGAGATTAGTTCTTAATACAATTGGTTTAGCTTCTAGGTCTGTACTTACAAAGATAGCTACTCCGCCACTGGCGTGTTGTGCTACTCTGTTTTTTGGAAAACGCTGATAATTACGAAGATTTATATTAACTTGTTTAAAATGAGTTTCTTAAAGACATAGGATCTTTGGGCAGAATTCGTTTATTAAAAGTTTTAATGGTTCTAGATGGGTATAAAACCAATTAAGATTCCACTGTAGAATAAAGGAATTGGACATGTTAGAATTCTGCTTGAGATGATTGTTCATCTGTCTCTTCTGTGGAAGAGATATTATTGGGGTTTATTTTCTTTTTTAATCTAGTTATATTATTTTTTAATTTTGAATTGTGGGTATAAGCGTGAACAAAATTAAGGATCTCAATTAGCTCGGCATTTTCATTAGAGTAATCTTTAGAAATTATTTCAGGGTGTTTGGCATATATTGCGTTTTCTAGGAAGTCACATATTTCATTATAATTTAAGATAAAAGGTGGTGATCGGTTTTCTATTTGGTCTTTTATTAACTCTAGTGAAAGTAAAAGTTCTTCCCGGGAATTTCTGGATGACTTTTTTGACTTTTTTTTTGGTTTGCTTACTACAGGAGGAGTAAATATCTGTGAATCGGTCTGTGGGGTATTTTCGTTAATGTCTGGAGAAGATGAGATGAACCTTTTTAGTTGATTAGGGACATTTGTAGTAATTGGATTTGGTGTTATTTCTACTGGAGTAGGATTTCTGATGTTGTTTGAGGTTGTAGGTGTTGAAGTATTTTAGGAAGATATTTCACTTCTATTACTTATGGATCCTGTCTGGTTATTGTCAGTTTCCATAATTTGTTCTGTTTGGTTATTAGAGGATTTTGTTGGAATTGATGTGTCTTGAAAAGTTTCTGGGTGTGCACTAGCAGTGGATGAATTAGCTTTGTCAAAACTTTGTAGTTCTGTTTGGTTATTAGATGTATTTACTGTAGGTAATATATTTTGAGAGGTTTGTGAGTGTATATTAGAAGTAGTGGGGTTTTCTTGGTTAGAGCATTCAGCTTCCTGATGAATAATAGTCTTGCATTTTGTACAGTTAAATCCTTCTATAGAAAGGTATAAACGATAATTGGTATTATCATAAGAGATAAGGAAAGAATTAGGAATAGATATATTGTCTAAAGGTGTAATAAAGATTTGCCTTTTAAAACTCAAGACATGGTTGTATTCGCTTTCAGGCATGCCTACTCGTAGGAAAGTCATTTTTGAGACAGGGTTTATACCCATCTGATGTAGTTCTTGTTCAATGAACGTGTTTGGGACAGTAGGGCAAGCATTTGATATGACTAGTCTTTGAGCTGGAGAGATAAGTCTTCTTATTTCTATTTGAGTTTCTTTTATAATAACATATTTGTAGGAATGTAGTAGTCAATCAACTGCATTTTTAGATGAAAGATATATACATATTCTGTTGTTGGCAATTCTGGAAGCGAAGGATACGTTACGTAGACCAACTAATGAACCAACGGCTATGATATAGTCATGAACTTTAGTTCCTTCAATACTGGAGAGTACTATAGCTTGTTCTTTTGTTGGGTCTTTAAATGTGTTGACAACACTGGAATATGAGACATGAGATGAAGTGTGAGTAGTATGCATAGTTTTATTTGAAGTCATGGTTAATTAATTTTAAGTCCGGACCTGTCACCGGTTCGAAAACCGGTGTGGATTTTGACCCAAAACTGGATTTGTTTCTATTTCTTCGGAACGTTATAGGTTATATTAATATTGATATAGATACTATAAAGTGATTTTCTGGTACTCACGTAAATGTTTTCTCGGCCGACTTGAAGACAGCACTATAACTATGTGTAATACAGCAACAAAAACAATTTCTAAATTTGGTTTTTTCATTTAAAAACCTAAATATTTCAGGACGGCTTGCAAGGTGATATATTTTATCACTGCCAGGACCGTACTCCACTTTTTATTGTTGATTTTGCCGATTGGCACTATTCTAGACGTTTCCCAGCTGGTTCCAGGTTCCTACCTCTACCTTTTCCTACCCTTAAATTTTTGACAGCTGGGTTTCACCATATTTACTAATTTCGAATTTATTTATAAATTTGCTTATATTGTTTAATCCAACATCTTTGGGTTGCAGATTCTTAGAATTAAACTAATTTGCGTGATTATCCTCCAGATCTGCGATAAGGAAATAATTACCAACCTTACCTTCCAGATTCTTAATCTAAGACTTTATGTGTTATTTTACCTTATTTGTTTTACCATATTTAATAACAGTAAACTATTATTTTGTTGTTTTAATCTTTTATTCCTAGCTAACTGGCATAGCCCGTGTCTATGGCCACTAATCGAGTTCCTTATACACTCAGATCAACAACAGCGATGAAACTGTAAATAAAACTATCCTCCTGAAGGTAAATAAAAACTTTCTAAACTTTATTATCAGAATTTTTTATTAAAATAAAATAAATAGAAAATCAATGTTTTTAATCCTACTTTAGCACTTTTTCACTCAATAAACATTCTTCGGGCTGCAATTTCACCAATGTCTTTGAAAGTTCCACCATTTTAGCACAAAGCTGCATGTCGTACGCTTGATACGGTAAAAATATTGAAATGCAGTCGATGAAAAATTTCCCGCTCACATTTTCAAGGGATTTTTCACAAGCGACATGTAAGGTTGTTTGAGCTCCTTCTTCGGCACTCTAAAAAAGGTAAATCAATTAGAATAAATACACAACATATTATAATTATTTTAAATAACATTAAAAATTTTATGTTTCGGTTTTTACTTCGAAAATCATTCTCAGTGAAAATCGAAACGTCATACTTTTGTAATTAAAATGTAATTATCAATAGTAATATCCCTAGGACATTGATAACAGGCGAGATAATTTCATGACAATCGAAAGCTCGTTCCTTGGTAACAGCACGAAGCACGTAAACTCAACATAACGAAACATTTATTTATTAAAAGTACAGTTATTGAAAGTACAATTATTAAAATTTAAGTTAACATTAGCTTCGTTGCTGTCCTCTACTATAGAAAACCTATTACCACGCATAATATTTATAATCTTGTTGTGGTGTTCTTGATCGAGATTCAAGTATGGTTTTATAGAATTCTGATTGCCATGACCAGCAATTTTTGGCAATTGTTGTTTGTTGTTGAATTTTTTCTTTGATTAGTACATTTATACTTTGAACATTCTCATTGCCGAAACGTGACATTTTGAAATTTATTTTAATGAAGTTGTCAAACTCGACCGTGTTGTCATAACTATTGAAAATTGCACTGAATGCAATTATCAGTCTAATGTTGACAAGATTGGGTGAAATTGTTCCACATGACACAAAATGACGAAATTTGAATGGTTGTTAGAACAGTCGAAAAATTATCATTAACCCGGGATAGGTCCCGTTAAGATACGTTACGCCATAGGTCCCGTGTAGAGATTTTTTCTCACTTTGTAAAAAAAATTACAGTCAGCATAAAAATGGTGTTTTCAGGTCTAATTAAATATATTTTTTTTCTTTATAATTAAAATTGTCTGATTACAAAATGTAAACCACACAGCTAATTCGAACCACGTTTGACAGACAAATAAGTATAAGTATAAAACAAAATAAGTATAAAATCAATAATGGCCTTATAAAATTGAACTATGTAGGCTAGTTTTCGAGGGTTAAGTCAAAAATAAACAATATTATATTAAGCACAATGTATTAGAGTTGTAATATAAGTAACAGTAATTTAGATTTTACAGTAATTTAGATTTTACAAATTAATTATTTATTCAGATGCATCACTCTCAGGAATCAGAATGCAATCACTACACACTAATGTTATTTTGCCAGTGTGTTCTTTGCATATTGCTTTTGTGCAAGAACTACAAGAGTGTTGTGTGTATCTATTTTTCTTGGCAGGACAATATGAGCACTTTATTTTGTTCTTTGAAGTTGTCGGTTGTGAAATTGGATTGATCCTGATCTGTAGAATATCCCGAATTTTTTGCTTTAGGCTAATGGAAAAAGTTGAAATTGAAGACCGTTTTTCTAAATGTGGTTTTATCAACTGTTTTGCTAAGTTTGAAATAAAAGTTCTTCTTTCTAACAAGGTGTTAGTATTACTCCTATAAATTATTTGGCCATTTACAGTAGCTATGTTGAGAAGTGTACAAAATAGAGTAAATGGCCATCTGTTACTAATTCTGGTTACATTGTATTCTGACTTCATCCTATCTACAACATCCACGCCTCCTTTAGTTAAATTATAAAATGTTATCATCTCTGGCTTGTTCTCACTAGACTCTATATCAATTGAATCGTCATCGTGCATCGTTGATAACATTAGTACATTTTTATTTTTTTTTGGGGTATATGAGACTATAGTGCAGTGATTTTCATTCTGGCCATATGCAAACATGCTGCTATGAACTGGTCGACCTTTTACAGTGAGCAAGTCTAAAGGTAAACCCCTTTTATTTTTTCTTATTGTGCCTACAACAGTAAGTCTGTGGTTTACAAACAGATCATTTGCCAAAGGAATAGATGTAAAATAATTGTCCATTGTAATATTTCGACCAGTATTATCAATGGGTTTTATTAGTCTTTTTACAACGCTCGATGCATCATTTGACAGTACGTAGGGGCCTTCTGGTTGTTTTCCAGCGTAGATCTCCATACTGTTGACATAAAATGTTCGTGCATCAACCAGCGCATAGATTTTAATGCCATACTTCTGAGGTTTATTTGCTATATATTGACGAAAACGGCACTTACCACGAAAACCTTCCAACATCTCGTCGATTGTGACGTATGAACCTGGAGTATAATATTGAGAACATTTATTTTCAAAGTTTTCAAATAGCTCTCTAATAGGAGCTAAATTATCAACAGCTCTCCTTTCTGGTCTGGTTTGACGATCATCAAAACGAATACCTCTCACAAGGACATGGAAGCGCTTCTGTGTCATAGTGGCAGCAAAATATACAGGTGCTGTTCCATCGTTCGTCCACAATTCATGAGTGCTCAAATGCTGCCCCTTTTTTATTCCAGCCAAATATAGAAGCCCAATAAACGCACATATTTCATGGAAATCTGTTGCCGGACAATCTTTTTCCAGTTTATACGATTTCCGCATAACCGCAAGTTGTTTATTTGTATGTCGTACGATATTTTCTAGAGTACTATCAGGAAAAAAAGTTTCCAACAGTCCAGTATAGTATAACACTTTGATGCCACTGATTTTACACCTGGAAGTTGAATAACAATATTTTGTCTTTTTGTTTTTGTTACAGGTTTTGTCATTTTATGTTTTAACCAAACTGTTCCATCTTTGCCAATAAATTGAGGAAATTTTGAGGGAACTGTAGTTATTGCTATAGGTTCGTCAATTGCGTCACATAATTTAAAATTCTCATCGTTTTCTGACTGCTCCGTGTCCGTCTCATGAATGCTATGTGCAGAAGAAGCGTCATTTTCTGAGTCAGAATATTCTGATATCGGTTCTGCTTCTACTTCTTCGTACCACTTTAAAAGTTGATTCCTGGTTTTAATGTCGAAAATATCCATTCTGGAAAAAAATAAATTTATTTATACTAGAAGCAAATATTATATTGAAAACAAATAACAGATCCATAAAACAACAAATAAATAAATAAAAAGTATGTTAAATATAATAATAATTGTTAATATTAGGCATTCTTAGAAATATTACTTAAAATCTTACCTATTTTTCTCTTCAATCAGCTTTTTGTGACAAATCGTTTACTGAACAAATTTACGTACGCAAAGAGTCCCGTGTAGAGATTTTTTCTCACCGTCCGTCACCCACTAGATATCGATAGGCACTAAACAATAACGGTCGTGTTCCTACCACTCAAAATGTTACAAGCCGAATCCCAGAGACGTACCTGAGGCATTGCTGAAGGCCCAAGACGTTAAAAAAATTATTATCAAAATTATAGCATAAAATAGTAAAAAGTGAGATTTTTTCTCACCACGGGACCGATCGCGGGTTAAAAACAATTCCTTAGATATGCCACAAGAAAGCTGTTTATAAAAACTATAATAGTCATATTACCTTATTATGTATATCAGATTTGCTTTATTTTTGCTAACCGAGAATTTTGACAACGTTAGACAAATATGATCAATTGGCACAAACGTTAAGAAAATTAGTTTAGACCATAAAAACTTATATACAAAAGCTCTATACATAAAAACTTATATACAAAACACAAAGCTCTGTATAAAGAAAATAAAGTGTTTATTAAAATGGGAACAAGAATCATAGGAAACTTCACCACAACAAAGAGCTCCTGCAGGGATGTTCCACATCTCCAACCCTATTCAAAATATACTTCGAGAAAGCCTTGACTACATGGAAAAGAAAATGCAAAGGCATGAGAGTACTGGTACGAAACGAATACCTATATAAGTTAAGCTTTGCAGAGAATCAAGTAGTAATTGCTCAAGAGCAAAAATACCTCAGTTACATATTGAAGAAACTGTAAGAAGAATTTACCAAGGCTATCCTAGATATTAACCTAACGAAAACAAAGTGCCTATCTACAAGTGAAAAAGATATAAATTATCTACAGATTGACAACGCAACAATCGAAATGATAAATTAAAATACTTGGGAGTTATAATCACGAAAAACGCAACATCAGAGCAAGAAATTAAGCAAAGATTAGGACTAACAAGAACAGCAATCCGACATCTTAACTCAGTATGGTGGGATAGACACCTAAATATGAAGACAAAACCACAGATTTAGAAAACATTAGTGTGATGTATTATGACATATGGGGCTGAAAATTGGATTATAAACAAGAAAAACAGCAGTGAGATAGTAGCAACAAAGATAAAACGTCTGCTAAGATGTTGCAGAGTATCAAGAATGGATAGGAGAAGTAATGACAAAATGAAGTAAAGAACACAATAGAAATAGACATATTAACATATATAGAACAAAAAAGACTAAAGTGGTATGGACATGTAAGAAGAACTAGCGACAGCAGATGGATAAGGAGAATATCCGAATGGAGCCCCCTAGGAAGGAGAAAAGAGGACGACCCCGAAGATCCTGGAGGAACGAAGTAGACGAAGCCATGAGTAAGAGAGGCCTAAACTATGGAGAATGAGACAACAGAGAGAGATGGAAACGGTTGAGCTAGGGAAGGCAGTGAATATTGTAGAATCCCTGAATATATATATATATATATATATATATATATATATATATATATATATATATATATATATATAGTAAACTCTTAAATATTGGAGAAATCTGCAAGAAAAACTCTAATGAGTATCAATTGTTTCGCCGAACGTTTTCGCCAAAGAGAATTAATTTGGCTTCGTCAGGGCTGAAAGAAATAAATTATAATTAGATACCATATATTATCTATTAAAAAACATTATTGGTCTTACCGTAACTAGAATTGTCGAGTTAGGATGTTATAAAACTTGCTAGTAACAACATAGTGGTGTTTTTTGTTACTATGTGCAAAAAAAGTTTTTTTAACGTAGGAAATGTATGGTAGCTTTGAACTTAAAATGCAAAGGTTTACCCAAGGTTAATCGAAAAACCCAATGTAACTACATTTAAAGGAAGTAATTATTTAAATTGTCGGCAATAACTAAATTTTTGATTGTTATAAAGTTTAAATGTGAAGTTCTGTTTTCTCAGAAC